TTTATTTATAATCAGGTTATATAGATCCATAAATACATACCTTACACATATTAACATATATAATATTAATATGCCCACACTGCCACTGAGCGCAGTGTTCTCTCAAAATATGTATATCTTTGTTTTCCCACACGTAATGCTGGTAAAGATTGCATGTATCTATGATGTAGGCACATAATTAACCTTAAATAATGCTAATACCCTATGATTTATTTCTTCGCATATCGTCGCTTTAATGTAAAACCGCCGCATCACAAAAAAATTCAAAAATGTTTTTATTGCAAAAGTGTGTTTAAAAGTGGTCAAACATTAATACTACATGAAGACACCTAGCAATTTCGCATTATAAACAACGGAATTACGCAAATGCCTGTTTGACTTTCTGCACTTTCGTGGCTAACTTTTGAGCTAAATAGTCCTTTTGTGAGTTGTGTTTACAAATTTATTGAGCCTTAAAATACGCATCCTTTGAGTATAAATACCCGGGTATTTAAAAATAAAACAATATTAAAATGTAAAAAAATAAGGTAGAAAGCTTTGATCTCCTCTCCTGTAAAAAAAGTGAACTTTTGACATGCAGCCGTTTAGCATTTAAGCGACGATATCTAATTCTTACAAATGATAATAAATATTTTTTTAGCATTTCGTCCCCTTCAGATTGAATAGGCGTTATGTATTTCTATTTTATCATACCAAGGTGATAAGTGACACCATAACATTGTCCATAACTCCTATCCATAACAGTTGCAGTGCCGCTCATAGAGCTCTTTGAATCGCAAATACCTGAAGGGCACTGCTAACAAAAGTTAAAAGTCCCATGTGCCAGTAATTTCACTAGCACTCCACTTACCCTTAAAAACGTAAACACAGTAATGCTCGCATTACTGTTTGGCTGTACTTCCCTTCTCTAGCTCTACTGCTACTACATTTTGACTAAATTAAAGTGTGAATGCTCCATTGTCGACCTCATCGTCACTCCCCATCATGTGAGGTAGAGGTCCAATGCACCGGTGTATATCATAAAAAAGTAGCTAGCGATGTTAATAAAATGAATACTCGTTGAATTTGCAAAAAAAAAGTGAAGACATACTTCCTCACGATAATTCTCCTGCAATAATTGGACAATCCCATATATACGAGTAACACCCCTAGCATCTGTCTAAGATCATAATGACCCTTTTGTTTACCGCGTCATTTCGTGTCATTTCGCGTAGTTCGAGTCATTTCACCAAGCACGATAATAAAAAATATTAATGTCCCTCAAAGAAAGAAACAACCCTAGTGTACAGTCGGTGTGAAAAATGTAAAAAAAAATATACGGATTTAATAACCGTGTTTGGGTTTAACAATACGCAGAGTTTTGCTATTGTTCTTAAAAAAACTATAATATGTTGTATTTTATTTAGTAACCATTAAAATATGTCTTCTCATCGAACAAGAATTATCTAGTTGTCAGATGAACTAAAGTAGATTATTCTAAAATATTTAATGCATCTAATTGTGTATTTCAGATTAATACATTTGCTAATGTCTTAAATAAAAGAAATTTCGTAATTGAAAATATATTACATTCCTAGGTTTTATATATATATATATATAAGTGGACGTGTTTTGTTTTATTAATTTAACTATCGTACTGACGACCTAGTCGATGGTTCAAGGTTTCCACTGTGGGCGCTAGATGAGGAATTCCCGGGTCCGATACCCTGTAGGAGCAATATGGGATTTAATCTTTTCTAAATTGATTCTGGGTAGTGTCTCACAGTGAATTCCGTTGCTGTGGCACTCATAACACAGGGAGTTTAGTGTATGAAACCAAGTTTGGTGTGGTTGCATTATGATTTTACAAGAACATTAGTATGTATGCGTACAACTCAAGTATCCTCAGTTGGCGACCAGAAAGTCACCATTAGAAGAGATTGTGGTTGAATCGTCTTGCCTAGAATTTATAAAGAAAAAATTAATACCATTTTGTCGTCGTCTGTACCTTGTGCCAAAAGCACCGGGGCCGTAATCGCATTAAGGCGGCCTGCGACCGTTCACGGACTATTATGTTTATGAGTTTCTATGAGCAAAGACGCCGGAAAGGATTAGTCTTGTTCCTGTTGCGGTACCGTTTCTTCATTGTTGTACAATAAGACTATCGTTTATTTCCTAACTAGATTTAGGCAAATTTTTCGAGGAAATAATACACATAGAGTAAATAATATACCCTCTGTAAAATCTCGAACTACTGTAATGTCGCATGCAGTACCCTAAAGATCTTTGCGATTTAAAGTGCCACTGCAACTGTTATGGATAGGCGTGTCGCTTCCCACCAGGCACACGACTTGTTTGTTCCGTCGCTTGGTATTATATAAAAAAAAAGTGTTTTCGTTCAATAACATTCGTCACAATATTTAATTAGTGCATAGATAATCTGAGTTTTTACATATATCGCACTGCTAATACAATAGTGTATTAACTCAAAAAGTGGACTTTCTCAGAATCGATGAAAAACTAATTACTCACTTCCCGCAAAAAAATCATTAAAATTTATCTATGTTAAAGTTAATTCAATTTTTATTGAATTGACATTCAATTATTTTTTGTGAAATTACTCCACTAGTTTGTTATAATTATGTTATAGTTTATTATAGACACTTAAACAATTTCTCAATTATATTTAAAAATATAATGGAAAAAATAATTTAGTACTTTTGAATAAGGATTATTTTGGCCAGAACTAGCTCACATAAAGTGTGTCACATTTTGAGTCAAACGGATATTTTTTTATTGTTTCTTACAATACTCTAACGACGGTTTTTTTGACGTGCTGAGAATCAAATTTTACGTTCAGTAATGACATAATATTAAATTTAACATATTTTGAGTTACAACACTATTGTAATAGCAGTGCGATATATTTTTCATTACCTATGTGAAATACGCAGCCGTGGTAGCCTAATTGGTTGACCTACCGCTACTTTACGGAATTTAAGAGCGGAATTTAATTTGAAATTTATTTATTTAATTATTAATACAAAGATCGAACACTCAGAAAAAATTCCTTCCATCCGGCTGGATTCGAACCGACGTCTTCTAGCATACTGTGCCATACGCTATACCAACTAAGCAACGGAAAGAACCAGAGGACTTCACGAATTTTTTCTATGCGCTTGCGTCGTATCTTTGCATTTGGTTTTTCAACGACTTTTTAGCCGTAGCGCCATCTATGAGAAATCTATGATATTTCGTCACCCAGTTAGATACCTTTACAGCTACCAGTCCGTCTAGAGATATCGCTATTCACTGTATTTAAATTTTTATTCAATTGATATTCATTATTTTTATGTGAAATTACTCCACTAATTTGTTATGATTATTTATTTATTTCACTTTTTATAATTTGTTTATTTAACTATAAACTTTTCGGTGAAGGAAAACATCTTGATGAAACCTGCACGTCGAAGAAGGTTCACAGCCCTCGGAAAACGCCTAAAAGTCCCCAACCCGTATTCGGCTAGCGTGGCGAACTATCTCCTAAACCCTTACCTGGGAGGAGATCCGTGCCCAGTAGTGGAATGTATAAATGGGTTGATGTTGTTGTTGTATGTAAAATATAAACTTTTCTTTAGAATTCTAATAGTATATTGCATTATAATACGGCCTATTCCACTAGTCCATACCAATTGTCCATCCTGGTGTGGATTTTTTTTCCACTTTTCCCTAACACACCGTCACTAGTTGGGATAAGTGGAATTTCATTTCCACTTATCCCTACTCAATCGTTTCTACTAATAAGTACAGTCGTAAATAAAGCTATGGCAGTAAAAAGTATAACTATTTATTTAAAAAGATGGTATTTATAATATTGTGTAACTTTAACTACAACAAATATTTCAAAAATTCATCCTCTAATCTCATAATCATTTTACCGCCTGAGCTCAAAACCTCCAAAAAGTGTTAAAGGGTCAATTTTTTTAATGCTTACCCGTTAATTGTCATAAGCAAACATTAAAACAAGTTTTTCCTTCATGAACTGGCCCTTTTTTATCATTGCACAAAACATTACACTTCTTAAATACACATTTACAATGATGCAAATGATGTTTTAAAGCAAATCTTGCAAGAACTGAATGTCAAATGTAATAAAAACTGTTTTCTATAACATTTAACATGGTTAATGGCGTTGTTTACTTAATGACAGGCTTTTAAACAAGTTAAAATAAAGGTGATATACCTTTATGAGTTTTAAAGACAATTGAGAGAGAGCGTAATATTAAGTTGCCTATAAGCTAGGTTCGAAGTAATAATTATCACTTATAATTATCAAGAAAATTTTCATGCTAATATACCATGATAATTATATTAATATTTATAAAATTAATTGGAATAACAAAATGCTACAACTAGCAATGTCATGTGTTTGTATCCGAGATGTATCCAAACGTGTCAAATATCAGAGCCTATTTACACGGCGTATTTTATACGCGCCGCAGATGCGTTGCAGTGCATCGATTCAAACGCGCTCAAAGATCGCATTGCAAGGAAGAAGCTTGTATATTCCACTGGAGTTTACACTTAGAAATTCATGTAGTTGCTTCATTTCAAAAACTAACTGAAATAACAAACAAAACTAAAATTAAAATTATCTCATATCGAAATACGCGATACCTACGCGCGACTACGCAATTGACGCATACAAAATACGCCGTATGCATAAGCTCTTAATCTTAAAAAACTCCCAAATGAAACCGTTCCTCCAAAGATTTTTCTTCGTATTTATTTAGTTTTTTTTACTGTGTCATTTTATTACTCAAAAATTAAAGAGACAACTATGAAGCAGCATTGATAATTATCAGATATATATCGGACAATTATCAGATAATTAACATGATAATTACGAAAGTAAATAAATAAATAAAATGTTCATACGAATCCTACTACCTATAAGTAATCTTATCATTTATTTGCGTATTTAGATTCAAACAGCTAAAGTCCGTTTTCCTTCTTTGCAGATGCGTGCGGACTTTCCGATGTGCCACACATAGAAAGCTTACAAGAGAAATCGCAATGCGCGCTTGAAGAATACTGCAGAAGTCAATACCCAAATCAACCAACCCGCTTCGGGAAGCTTCTATTGCGGCTACCCTCACTCCGCACCGTCAGCTCACAAGTCATAGAACAACTCTTCTTTGTAAGGCTAGTTGGGAAGACACCCATTGAAACTTTGATCAGGGACATGTTGCTTTCCGGGAGTTCGTTTTCGTGGCCTTATATGGCGACCATGTGACATACAATGTGGCGTCAGCTCGCGGCGGCCTGATCCTCGCCTTACGGCTTCCCGCCGTACCTGCCCAGCCAGCGCTTCGACTTCAACAGATACCGAGACCAGCCTGACGACGCTGTGACGTCATCCAGCGAGTTCCACGAAACCACAGAAGCGCCAAGTGAGGACTATTTCCCTCGAAGCAGGGACAGCGAGAGAGCCGATCCATGTCCAACGTTTGACCCAGTCTCCGCTTTCTACCCCCCGAAATCGACCGATCATCAGGAAACGTTCGAGCCGTCAACGACATCTACCGAACAAAAGAATGTACAAGCTCAAAAATCTATGATGATCGACAATTTATTGCGACAGGATTCGTGCTTATCTGATATGAAGTAGGCAACGCCAAGCCATGGGACTTAAGGTGTGTTAGGGGTCCGTAGTGTTCTTAGTTCAAGTTTTTTGTTCCTCTGTAAAAATACTTAGGCTAATTTAATATTTAAATATTGTAAATAAAATGTTTTTATTATTGTAAATGTATAGTTAGTGTAAGTATAAGAGACAAAGTTTTCTATACTGATTTTATTATTGGAGTTTCTTTATGAAATTTCTTATTGATTTTTCTGGGAACTAGAATTACTTTTATACAGAAACATATACTTTATTTTTAAGTAGACCAGTGAATGTAATGTTTATTTAAAAAAATACTTTATAATATTTGGTTGAAAACCAATCTAATGTCAAATGCAATAAAATGTAAATTCGGTCGTGCAATGTCGGTGTGTAGTTATTATGGATAGGCAATAAAATTAAAATTTGACATTTCGATACTTTTCTATCGACTAAGTGTAAAATGATCCTGACTATCTTCTGGACATTTGTAGGTCCTACCACAGTTGTACTTCCTTTCATATGTTTTGAGGTACAAAAGCACTTCTATTTCTGCCGAATTAAAACTAAAAGTTTTTGATTGAAATTAAATAAAACTTTTTGATCTGAGTTAAAAAAAAACTGTGCGTGTTTATTCTTGAAGAGTTAGGATCATTTTTCATTTTCATTTTTCTACGTAGCAACAAATATGTTAGCCTTTTAATTTTCATACTGGTGCTCTCTATTCGCTTTTTTTTACAAAAAATGCGACCTGTGTTCTCTATTTACCTTTTTCTTACTTTTCTCCGTTTGCATTATTATTTAAATTAATAATTCCATAATAAAGCATTTAATAATAATGTTCCTCTGGATAATTATAATTGAATAATATTTTTCAATGTCGTCAAAAAGATTTAGTTAATTGTTTTTTAATTTTTATTTTGTTTAGATGTGTGTCTTTTTGTGTAAAGATTAGTGAGAACATAGAAATACAATATAAATTATGAGTTACAAGCTTTTATTTACGTAAATTAATAGATATTTTTCAGTGAAGAAATATTTTTGGTCATTGTTTCGATACATCATGTTATAGCTGAGAAATGTGCATTGCCAAAATGACCAAGAAACTTAATGTACTCTATGCCAGTGGCGTAAAGTGAATATTTGAAGAAATTAATCCGATGGAGGGTACGCAACAAATAGTGCTAAATTTTTCCATTCAATGCCTACCAATAAGTTAAAATATAAATGGTCAGGTGTATATTAAAATAGCTCGTATGCGTTGACTTACAAATAAATGGACGACGGGTCTAATACAAAAACCACGAAAAAAATGTCCCAAGTCAACCTATTTAAACATAGTGACATGTAAAGGAATATGAAAAAGCTAAAACGTTGAATTTAAATTGTAATGTCATCGCAGTACTGTCTAATTTTGCTTGCTTCGCTGTCAGTCGAACAAACGAAGACTGAAGCGTGAATGACGCTCTGTATACGATTTTAACGCCCTATAAGTTCGGACACTTTTTAGCGCGGACCCGACGTCCATATAATTGTAAGTCAATGCTCGTATGTTATGCTAGAAACAAATGCAATAAGTTGTGAATTTAAAATAACTTTAAGAAATACGTGAACGAATGGTAATGAAACAATTTTTTCGGGTCTAAGTCGCATACTTTTGTTTTTTTCGAACAAATAAACGTATTGGGTTATTTACAGGTCTCGGGTGCAAGTTTGTTTGAGAAAACAAATAAAATGCAATTTATCTGAAATAATTATAACTTTTTTATAAAAAAGAACCGACCTCAAAAGTTTGTGGAATTACATCTGTAATACCAAGTTTTATTGAAATCGGTTTATGGAAAGTGGGTGAAAGCAATAAATCGCATTCACGCCTTAATTTGCGCCCTTAGAGGTGGAATATTTTCTTCAAATTTAAATTGGACACATTCAAGAAACATCGAAATTGGTTCACAAATTTCGAAGTAATCGCATAATATATGCACAAAAAAAATACAATCGATTTGAGAACCTACACTTTTTTTTTTGTAGTCGATTGAAAATAGTTTCGTTTTCAATTTCCAGCAATCGCGAAGATCTTTGAGAGTTCAAAATCACATGTTGTTCGAGTGAACAACCTGTGATTTTCAATAAACATTCAACTTAATAAAAAGAGAATTTAGAATAACAAAAAACAATTACCAGAAATATTTATTCCATTAATTATTTTTTTTCAATTCCTGATGAAGGTCTCTCAAAATTCTCCTGCCAAATCTGTCTAATGTAATAATGTTATATAGAAGAAGCAATGTATTTATTCACAATAACGTACATACATTAATGTATGAATTGTATGATTCTGTCTCTGAATGGTTGTATGATACGACATAATGTAATGAGGAATAAAAATGTCTCCGGATTTTGACACCTTTGTTTTATTGGCAAAACTAAATGACTTTCCACCTGAGCATTTTAAGGCTCCATGATGAGCCTTAAAAATGCTCCTGCAGGACCATATTAGGAGACTCCTATGACTTTACACTGACCATATAGGACCAGTAAATTCTTTGCTAAATACGATTAATAGAAGAAGAACCTAATGTCCTCTTGCACTAAACTGAAGTACGTCTCAAAACAAGGCTTGCTATGCAAAAAACACTCTTAAAAGTCTATACAACCTCAAATGGCTTTAGTTGATTCGAGCGAGAATGTTGAATCAATCACTTTGAAAAAAATATATAGTAAAATCGAGGATATGCTATTACTATACGGTGTAAAAACACGATTCCTTAAAATTTTCACGATAGAAAAAAAAACACAATCTTACCTCGAAATTTTACAAGAAAACCGCTGTATTCAATAGGTCCTTTACATACACGAATTTTTTTTTAATATCATCAAAACCGAATAGATCACGTATAGTACACGATATACATTTTTAAAATAGATTTAATTTCGTTTTCAAAAACATATTTATTATTCTGAAATAAGGCCAGTGTCCCCGCCGTTCGACCCAAGTAAAATGAGCCAACCGTATTATTACGGAAAAAATTTAGTTCGAGCTGTAGTAGTATCGACTCTTAATACATTGTGTTAAGAGTGTCTTTCAGTTTTGAGCAGTTGTTTATTGTTTCTGTATAACGATTTAATTATCATACGCTTGTTAACTAACAAACAATATTAATTGCTGCAGGCAAGTAACCAACAATGTCCTAAATCTCAAGATTACAAGATAACGAAGAAAAGCTTCTCTACTCACGCGAGTTTTGTTTATTGCAAGCGCATGCTGAGCTTGTTGATAAACCCGTGAAATGCCTGCAAGTCAATCGTGGAGCTAGGCCTAAGACGAAGTTTTCTAAAATCGACTCCAATTCTGTGAACCATTAAAGAATTATTTTCGTGCCAAATTCAATAATTGATACGCTTTAACTTAGGTTATTATAAAAAAATTGTTTTCCTATATAGAAAGCGGCTTGTTGCAATTCGTCTGTAACATTTGTAAACATTTTTTTTATAATATCAAGTGCGGGACGTACAAATCAAGTAAGCTACACGCCTGTACATAACAATTACAGTGCCACTCAGAGCTTTAAATCGCAAAGATCTGAGGTGTACTGCCACTGCGCCCGTCACCTTGAGACATAAGTTGACAAGTCCCATGTGCCTGTAATTTCACCACCATCTCTACTCTTCAAAACCGGAACACAGTAATGCTGGCATTATTGCTTGGCGGCAGAAATAGGTAAGGTGGCAGTACTTTCCTGGACGAATTCTTTCATAAGGACTTCTGCTACTTTCTTCTCAACACGTCTTGTCATTGTTATTGAAATGATTGTGGTGGGTTTGCATTTGATGACTGAACTCGAACGTATCTCATATTCATAAAGTTTTATTCAATATTTTGATAACTTAATTTAAGAAGCCAATGAAATTTAAAAAGACGACTAAGAATTAAGAAACTGCAACAAATAGTGGCATTGACTAACATTTTTTCATTGCTTATTTTGACAGTTGAGACCACGAAAGAAGTATTTAAGTGGTCTATGAGTGAGACCTTTAGTTGCATGGCAAATAGCACATTAAAATATGATTTGACTATGAAGAAAAGGCTTTTGAATTGTCAACATAAACTGCATGGAACTTGCCTTATTTTTGTTAGGTGATAGTACGATTTTGTCGAATCGGGATCTTATAGTAATAAGAGCTCATGGTAGGCCCCTAGCTCTCAAGACACTCAGGGCAGTATTTATATCACTTATAAATGCAGGTTTTCAACAATAAAGATGTTGAGTGCAATCTGATTCCACTTGGAAAACGCCGACACACGCTTGAAGCCATGGCACCTCATAATTTTATTGTAGCGCGTGGCATGGCACGGGTTAACAGTACTACGTTTATAATCTATATAGTAATAAATCTATCTATATCAAGCGTAGAATATCTTTCGAAGAAAATGTAATTTAATTTTGTCACTGAACATCGTTGTGTTTTGATATTATTTTGTATTATTATTTTTTGTTGTACTGTTTCAGTTTTGTTATAATTGTTTATATTAGTGTCGATTTTTGTCCCTTGATTTTTTCAATTTAATTTGTTTACCATGAGCTTTGCGGTGAAGGAAAACATCGTGATGAAATCTGTACGTCGAAGAAGGTTTTAGTAGCAGTAGAGCAATAGAGAATGGGATCACTACTGAGGTACCCTCTTTTCAACAACAAAATCAAAATCGGTTGACAAATTCCGCAGTTATCCTGTAACATACATACAAAAAAAAAAAGACGGATTGAGAACCTCCTCCTTTTTTGAAATCGGTTAAAAAAGTTTTAGCGAGTTGTCCGTGACATGTGCCACAGAAATGTTATGTTACCTACAATAACATGTAACATGTTTTATAATTTTTATATTGTTGCGAAAAATCCGTACATTGTTTTGTTTTGTTAATTGTAAATTTAAATGTGAAATAATAAATTTAAAAAAGAAGACAGGCTACTTGTTGCAAACGCTACAGCATTTTAATAATTTAATTTAATGTAATTCTCGTCAATGGCACATTACGTAGGCCGGGGGTTCTATTTTGAACCAGTCGACTAACTAATATAAATAGAAAGAAAGAAAATATGTGGTAGGGATGAAATAACATATGTTATTTCGTCCCTGCCACATATTTAACGAACTTTTTGTGCAAAGGTCAAAAAGAACGTTCACTTTTGGTTTGTACTTCGAGAAGAAACCACCACTGTTATTGATTAATGGCACTGTTTTTTTTAAATATCAAGTTACGGGACGATCAAGTCGTGCGCCTAATGGTTAAG